ACCGGGTATTTTTGAGAAGTTGAAAGAGATGCGAACCTGGTAGATATCGGAGTTTTGACTGGTACGCCGGTAATTTCGTAGTTTGCATAAGCTCGTGACTCCAGGCATTTGAATTTCGTGATTGAGGTGTCCCCAGGTTTTATTGTACTTTTGACAAAGGGTGCGTCTCTATGCGATTTTATTGTCAGATACTCCGAGACAATTAACACGGAACGTACCTGCACACCGTTGGTGCTACGTTGCTCTACTGCGTCGTGGTACGCATAAGCACGTGGTTGCTTGGACTTTGTGATCGAGGTGTTTTATACTCGTCCTGTCCTGCCTAGGTCCTGCCACACGCTGCATTCCGGGTTTTATTGTATTCTGAGGCTAATCGGCTAAGGGTGTGATTCCATTGTCAGAATGTCACAGTTGACAAGGAGGGTCGAATGTACCCACACTTGTCATTGTTGCTGCGTTGCTCGATTGCGTCAGGGTTTGAGTGGCCTTGTGTGGCGCAGGACTGCTTGGCTCTTTATACAACTGAAAGTGTCGACGCGAGCCAAAAGAGGCGTATAATCGTACATTGGCGCCATTTTCCTGGGAAATCGCGATCGTGTTGGGCAGAAGGGCGAATGGAAGAAGTTGATCAGTATGATATTGGCCGGGTCCTTCACGACGCTGGTTATTCTTTCGTTTTCTGTATGTCTGTTGGTAATTTCAGTCGAATAGAAGCCGAGGCGCACATCGCATATCTAACCTTGCCGATTGACACCATGGTCATGGTATGCTGCGCGAATGTGTCCATGCTACCCCGTTCGAGGAGAACAATGGAGGTTAATTCATTGGCCATGTAGTAGATTATCGAGGCCTTTGTCGAAGCAGAGGCCACTGGCCCTGGGTAAGAAGCTAGGCGTCCTCTGTATGTTGTGCTGCGGCGTTGGCCATGAAACAACTGCCTATGCATGCGAATTCGAGGTCAGAGCTACAGGATAAAATGGTCAGACACATTGACCACATAGAAGAATGTTGTACTTGCCTGGGCCAGCGTCAGAAAATTCTTTGAGGGTTGGAACAATGGCGGCCAAGACACCTGCCTTTCTTCCGAACATACGCAGGGCCTATATATTGGGTGGTAGGTCAGACAGCTGTAGACAATGACATGATGCCGCTCACCATGATTTACGGAGGTGAAGATCCCAAGACGACGTCCCCCCTCTTGCCAGTTCATTTTCAGAAAGTCGTAGCGAATGTAATTATTTCTGAGCTGGACTCTGGGGGAAAGAAAATATAATTTCTGCCTGGCGACGGAGAAAAATCCTCTGGGAACATGACAGTTCATTTTCCATGTGGCGGGCCAACACAAGCGTCCACAAGTGTGGTCCGTAACGGGGATAAACTCCACCAAACTCGTGGGAGATTCCTGTGTTTAAAAGCGAAACGAGGCCGTTTGAACCTCAGTTCATTTCTTCTGTCAAACCATTTTCTTCAACTCTCCTCTCCACCCACTTTCCATACCGCTCGAACATCTTCCACATCAATGCGGCCTCGTCACCACCCTTGGCCTCCAAACAAGGTATATCAATCCGTCGCTTGTTCTGTACACACAAGATGCCTAACAACACACCAAGAAAATGAAACCTGAGCTGCTACGCGAATATAGAGAGTGGGCGGATGTAAAACTTGAAGGGGGCACTGTAACGTGTAGAGCGTGTTTGCGCTTGATAGCACTCGATGGCTGGCGCCCGAGAAGCGCACTGATACATCGCAGGAATTGCCAGATCATGCAAATTAGAGGGCCGGTCCCCCCAAAGGTAGGAGACCTTGTATTTATATTCTTGTCAATATATATGCTCATTGCCGAAGGATGAGGAGGCCAATGTCGTCGTCAACCAGCCAACGATACCCCAGCACGAGGCGACTGCACCAGTCAGCAGTTCCACCGTTACCACGGTGGAACTTAGCGTCTTTCTCTTGCAAATGTCTCTAGATTCCAATGGAACTGACTCGTACAGCAGTACCTCGACAGGAGGCCACCTATTCACTATGGATATTGGTAGCACGCTTGTCGCTTCTGGGTCAACTGGTAAGAAAATCTGTGTTAGAATTTGGAACACAGCAGTAAGCTAACTAGCTGCTCGCCTTTCTCAGCCCCCGGGCCTGCGCACCACGGGATTCATACGTACTTTGGTACGGCTAACTAGCGATGAACAGCACTTCTAATCGTTAGTACAAGCGGGCATATGTTCAGAATCTTCCCTTCTTGTTTGACGAGGCAGCTGCGCCCGATGGCTTCAACAGCCGTCAAACGTCGTAAATTTGTGATGCTCGACATGGACGTCCTTTCTTCCTACCACTTTTCCGATGAATATCCTATCCTAACACCCATATGCTTTCCATATGTCTCGCTTTCTCAGTTCAGACTCTGTAGGCTCTGTACTTTTTCCAAGTTTATTCTCTGTAGCAAGTTTAGTCGATGACGGTATGAAGGATCACCTGTCACGTCTATATGCGTAGAAATAAGAATTACATACCCCTTTTCTCCTATTGACTAATGTGGATCTTCCATTGACCACAGCAGATAAAGAGATAACGAGCTGAGATAGTCTAAGCTTCTGAGGTCTGAGGCCGAAAGTCGAGGATGAAGATGAAGATGAAACCTTATGTAAGCAAAGGGTTTCTTCAAGGAAGGAAGGAAGGAAGGAAACCGGCAGCGTCAAAATTGTAAATTTACAGCAATTCGAATTCGCAAGAACGGGACCCGGCTGTTCGTGCGCGGACCGTTGCAGGTTACTCTAGATCTTACTCCTACTCCAAGTCAAAATGTCCATGTTCTATGTATATTTCACTGTCATACTGTCCGGGACTCGGAACCGCGGTTGGCGACATTTCAAGCATGTGTGGCGTGGTGCTAGTACTCCAGGATCAAGGCAAGTTCAACTCAACAATACGTCTATTACGTCTCAATTCAGCCAGTAGATATTAGTACTACAATGATCTGGATAATCGATTAATCGATTATGACTTGAATATGGCAAGGTTTATATGAAAGTCAAATTTTCCGTAAATGTACAGAGGCTTTTGCAATGGTGAGATCAGCCTTTCCAGTCGATGTTTCAAAGTCAGGCCTTGAAGGGTATGTCCATTTCTTAAAGTATTCAGAGGGTGGCAGGCGATCCGCGATTTCGCTGGCTTTTGGGCGATCCTTCACTTCTCTAGACGTGCAACCAGTGATCAATTCCCAGATTTTGTCGGAAAGTCCGCGTCCTGCATACCCTTGGGGCTGCTGGATTGGGCCGTTGTCACGGTTTAAAAGTTGAAACTGCACTTTCGACACCGGCAATGTCCCCGGTTCAGGAATGGGAGGTGTAGTGAATATCTAATTATATATTCAGTCTGTCTGGTTCTTTGATTACTGATGATCTCGAAACGGACCTGATAGCAGACCAATCCAAAACTGAAAACATCGCTTGCAGGTGTTCTTCTAAGTTCCGGATTTTCAACATGCTCGGGAGCTTCAAAGCCTTGTATGCTGCCAGCATCATGACCAGACGAGAGGTTGTGCCTGTCTTCGAGCTCCAGGCCATTGGAATCAGAAACGTATGATAATCCAAAGTCGGCGATAACGGCTTGATTTTTTTCAGCAACTAGGATGTTCTCGCATTTCAAATCTCCATGGACAACACCATGCTTGTGGAGATACTCTAGGCCGCAAGCGACGCCATAGATCTAAGGAGGATGACGTTCATTACATCGACCCAAGTTGAATTGGAAATAACTTGCCAGGCGAAGTCTATTAGCAGAATGCTCTGAATCCCTCAAAAACTCCAAGGCATTGCCGTTTGTGATCCAAGGCGAGACAAGCGAAAATTCATCTGTCTGTTTTCGGGATTTTATATTGATAGGATGGCAGATTCCGTAGAACGGAAGGATGTTGGGATGTCGAAGTTGGCCCCATATGACTGCTTCCCGGGTAAATGCCTGAAAATCGTATCAATAGTATGTAACAAAGCTACCCCTCTTGCACACCTTTTGAACCTTTCTTAAAGTCGCCTGATCTGTTTTCTGATATATTTTAATCATTTTGAGGCATATAAATTTCCCCTGATAGTGCGCCTTGTAAACATCGCCATAACGCCCAGCGCGCCACCTGTCCTCCTCCTTCAAGTAGGTCACATCGTTGAGTATGAAGCATCGAGGTGCAAGCTCAGATTTACGACATAACCTAACAAGAGCAATGAACAGAAGTATTTGGAACCTTGGCTTCGGTGACGCATGGTCCAATAACTAATAGACAAGCAGAACCGTCAGCCAGATGGTAGCCGGGATTGAAAGAGAGATTCTTGACCTTTTGTAGGAGATCAAGTAAATCCTGAGCTGCGTCACCACGATAACTCAAAAATTTCTCGTACTTTTCCCCAGAAGCAAAGATATCTCGAACGAGCTGTGTACATACACGAATGACTTCACTATTGAGTTCGCTTGAACTCATGATGCCAGGCTCGGGAGAGAACTCAGTCGATGAAACCCAATGAGAAGCCTGTGAAACTACGTAGGCATCCAAATTGGAGGTTTGACCAAGGGATTCCTCGGATGTGCGAGTATGTGCATTTAGGAATGCTGAAGCGGACAAAGTGAGTTCGTCCATGATAGTAGGCAGTTTCTCTGATGGATCTAGAGGTATCATGATGATAAGACTCCGAGCTCATGTTTCCCATAGTTGTCAAACAAAGTCACGGTTCCAGGGCGCCTAGTACCACAGTTCGGCGCCCAAAACA